TATAACAATCTAGTTATCAACAAATCTGTAAAAGTAGGACTCAGAATTAAAAAGTCTAGACATGGATATGATTTTCCCTCAGGCAAAATGTAAATTTTAAATAATGGTTTTTATGGTAACTCAAAACATCTGGCATTATTTAATAACGTAACAAAATGATTGCGCGATCTTTTAATATTAAAATAATAATTAAAAATTATGAAATTCTTGAATGCTTTCTTCTTGAGGATAAGTCTGAGTTGCTGCTTCTTTAGTTTTTTGGATTTCTGGAATAAGATCCTTTTGGATTTTTTTCGGATGAGGATCGCTATACGATGTTTGAGTTATACTTTGATAAAATTTGGGGGATTTCATGTAATCAGGATCCAGCTCAGGTTGGTGACACGGTAAGCAGCGGGGTTCTTTATCTAAAAATTAAAATAATAATAATTTTATTATATAAAAATAGCAAAATTTTCTAATTTATTAAACTAATCTATTGAGCTATTGATAGAATTTACCATTAAATTTAGGAGGGATAATAATTCCATACCGGTTATAACTACAACCGTAAGTAGTTAAGTAACAATGTTCGTACTGTATCAATTATAAAAAATAAATTAAATAAAATATAAACCGCAATATTATAAATATTTTTTTAAAAACGTTCAGTTGCATACATTACTTATTCTTTTTTTCCAATATTCGCGATTTCTGACATCGCTCAATTCTTCTTCCCAGTTATCAACAAGTACCTTTTTGTTACTGTATGGAGTTTCCTATGTAATAAATAACAAGTTATTATCATTTAAAGTAAAATAAATTTATATGTTCTAATTTTTAAATAAAATATACATTGTTTACAGAGCGATCATCGGAATATTTTTTAAATATTCGATTAAAAAAATTAAATAACTCTAACAAATTAATTAGCCTTAATGTAGCCCAATAAGAATCTGGCTGTTTGTTTGATTAGCAAAGTTGTATGTTGTTATAAAAAATTAAAGCTGAATTATTTTTTAAAATTTATAAAAATATTTTAAAGTAATTTTAATGTAATAAAATCAATTTAAAATTATAAAAGTAAAGTATGACGCAATTAGCCGAAAATAGCAAGACACAAAACAGAGGAATCTGGCAAATATGGAAAGATTAATTCAGATCGTCTGTTTTCTATTTTCCTTATTTTTTAAAAAGGTTTATTTAAAAAGCTTCCTCTTTTTAAGGAAGAGAAACACAAGATAATTAAACAAAATATAATTGTTTTAATATAAGGCAAAATATTTTTAAAAATAAATCCTACCAAAGAGTTGAATATAGTGTAATAAACAAGGAAAGTTTCATATGATAGAACATAGATAATCCGCCATTTTGAATAAAAAAAAACTCATGTTTCATAGTGAATGTGCCTAATAGTTACTAATAAATATATCTAAAAGTAACCGAAATTCAACGTCTGGCAGCCAACCGGATAAACTTTTACTTTAATATTTTATGTTTTCAGTTAATTTCTTTGATTATTAATTAATAATGCGTTTATGTATTGCAATACATATTTGTAATTACGAATTCCTTATTCAAAACATTAGTCAAAAACATTATTTACAATGTATACGAATTGTACATACAGACACATTAACTATGTATATGTATGACATATGCATATGCATATATGTACTACACATGTATATGATTTGTACTAATAGATACACGGGGTTTTCTTCATGTATCTAACATCTAAACAGAATCCAGTTCCCATATAGAAAGTCCTACTAGAAGTTACCCCATTGGCAGATCACCCATGTGTTCTGTTGCCTTACTCCGTCAATCCACTGACACAAATCTTAATGCTGGCATTTTAATCTTTTGTGAATAAAGTTACATTTCACCTTTGTACGAGTATGTATGGAAACTTTTGGAACACCCTGTATTAAACTTTGTATCATTACTAATGCTGTAAGTTATAAAAATATCAAACATACTCCATGTTTTTAGGAGCCATACTAATTTATACTAAACTTCGAATAACCAAAAATTCTTTATTATATAGTTCTGCATAATAAAGAATCTTAGGTAGACTGGCCATAACATTTACAACCCAACTGGGACACTTTAATTTGAGTTACACAGAATAAGTGAAAATAGAGTCTAAAACTGATTTAACTTTGATAATATTTTTAAATTTATTTATTTATTGGCCTATAAATTGATGCTATTATATTGTGGTGTTCATAAAATTGCTCTATTCAAAGATTGATTCTAAAATCAAATAAAAACAGGCAAAACCGGGACAGTTCTTCGATAATCGGGGACGTCTGGAATATACAAGTAATAGTACTTGTATAAATAAATTTTCTCTATTTGCTATTTACAATGTATACGAATTGTACATACAGACACATGAACTATGTATATGTATGACATATGCATATGCATATATGTACTACATATAGACACATGTATATGTATGATTTGTACTAATAGATACATGAAGAAAACCCAGAACACTGGGTTTTTGTATCTAACACCTAAACAGAATGTATTATCTTGTAAATTCTTTATATATATAAAGTTTTAGGTACATGATATATATATATATATATAAAGTTTTAGGTACATGATATATATATATATATATATAGAGTAATTAGGGGCATCGATGCTGAGAAGTTAGGCTTAATGAAGATTTTACTTGTTAT